CCAAAGTGACAGAGGCTCTGCTGCACTGTAATCAACAGCATGAGTTTGACATCGCCGTTTAACCCTTTGTCCCCTCCTCCAGCATCTCTGCTGTCGCTCAAGTCTGCTTTCTAACTACAACACCTCAGTAGTGGAGGACGGTTATTTGCACATATGGCTACATATGGAAGTTGTTTAGAGCAGGTGAATCTATCTTTGTTGCCTGCTTTGAATTTGGATGCCTAAAGATTATCTCAAGATTCTCCTGATGTTGTTGTCTTGTTTGTTTGTTTTTGGTTCTGCTTCTGTGTTGTGGTTGTATATTTATATATTAGGTATTGTCTTCTATGTCGCTTCTAGGCTATATATGCAGACCTTACAATAAAATTTAAAATGTATTAGTATTTTTTTGTACGTCTTAAAAATGTTACTTATGCTTAAATTCTGCTTTGCAGTAAAAAAAAAAAAAAAAATGTTAGTAATTATCTTGTGCACACAATATAATTAACTTGTGCGCAAAATATATATTTTTTTAACTTTTTGGGACTTCAGTGGCTCTGTACACGACTGTTTTAATATAAAGTAAATCAAATATAAAATAAACACAAGAAAGAAGAACATATTTGAACCATGAGTATTCGGCTGTATCTCTTCTTACAAACATGTGATTTTGCATGTCAATCCATTGTAAGAACATGAATGGTTTTGATGATTACAACTTTTCACTCACAGGCCTTATGTTGCACTGATCTATGAGGTGCTGCAGTGGAACAAGTCAACGGGAGGTCGATGAGTCGATGAGGAGGCCATGTGGAAAACCCCCCCGTCTGTCCGTCACAGGTCAGACCCCGGTACACCAAATAATGAGAATTGAGTGGGGTCAATGAGGAAGGAGTTGGGCCATGCATAAAGATTTCAATGCCAATGTGTCAATATTATTGTTATGCTCCGAGAGTTTTCTCTTTTTTTCAAATTCCCCCTCGAGAGAGAAGACCCCTGACCCTCTCCCCTTAATTATGGTTGTTCAGAACTGTTAAGGGAATGATTGCATTTTAAAAGAGTACAATTCAAATGGAGCTTATTATTTATGCATTGGGATGAACAATAGCCATAGTTACTAATTTGCATAGTGGATGCACTCCGGTAAATATTGCCCTGACCTTTGATTTCCCTAAGTAGTTTGTTTCTGATTTAACTGTTTCAGCAGGGTCAATAATACAAACGCCTCAAATGAGTCACAATCTGTGTTATATTTCTCCGCTTTATAGTGGACCAGACACTCAAATTCAATCATAGTGCAAACACAGTGCGTTAATATTCATAACAGCCACTGGGTGAACCTGTGTCTGAATTTCAACAACTTGTTCGTTATTTGATCATTCCTTCAGCCTCTTGTTTCAGTTGCTGCACACAGATATTCACCACCTCCTTCCCCCACAGCTACACAACACAGCTCAAAGCTATTTACATATTTACATCGAGGAGTTATGATAAAGAAGAATGCACTCATATATTGACATTTACATATATTGAAATGATGTACAGGGCTGTTTTATCTGCTGCAAACATGCCATGAGTAAAAAGTGTTTTTTTTTACTTGTGTGGCTAACTTGTGTGGCTGTGGCTGTGAAAACTGAAGTGTTCCGGTATTTTTCTTAAAGTGGGGTCAGGATGCACAGAGTCAGTCAACACATGGAGCGAGGAACTGATATTAGCATTGACAGTATAATGGGACAAAACGCGAGCTGGCTTTTTGCCTCTAGCGTCTAATGGTTACCGTGTTGAAGCACACACGGGTCATACATGGAGGGAGAGCGACAGCTGATGAGCAGAGACTGTGTGTGTCAGTATGTGTGTAACTGTGCGCTATTCGCTATCTGTAGGCCTCCCCTTGATTATCATCTGTTCCGTGGAATCCGATATGAAGGGAAACTGGCATCAAATGCAACATCAACGCTGCATCAAGGAACTTGCTTCTGTCAGCCTCGCTCTCTCTTTTTTCTCTCTTCCTTGCTCCCCCCCACGCGTAAACATATAACAATAGACACGCACGCACACACACACGCGCACACACACACACACACACACACACACACACACACACACACACACACACTTCATCATGTAAGCACATTAACATTCACACTGTACAAACTTCCTCTCTTTCAAACTCTGCCTCTCTCTAACAATCACACACGCATATGTTGAGATCAACACAATTTAAAATGCATACACACACACACACACACACACACACACACACACACACACACACACACACACAGAGCCAAGCCCAGGGCAGAGGAAGCCAGTGTGAACCCGGGGGAGAGAGATGTCACGATGACAGACAGGCCAAATGAAAATAAATGCAGAGTTTTTCTGCACCGCAGATCAGAAAACAAGACACTTCTGTGCGCGCTGCGCGGCCGCATGCTGCTGTTTATTTTGGAATGTAGAATGTAATTATTCAGCTGCCAGTGCTGCTGTTGGTGTTATTAATCAGTTAAACTCTCAGCTGGAAACTATTCAATATGATGTTTCTGAAGGGGGTAAGTGGGGGGGATGTGGTCAGGCAGTGCACTCAGAAAGTCAGATCTAAGCCTTTGCTCCGTTCAGATGCAGAAGTTTTTCGCTGAGTTTTGAAATAAACAACTAAACTCAACATTTGAAGATTAATTTCATTCTGTCTTTAACTGAAATGGAAGTGAGGACACACTTTGGCCTAACCACGACTGAGAAAGGACTCTGAAATCACAGAGTAAGTTTGAGCTCACTGTTTATACACATACAAAGTCTAAACTCTGACACTTCCAGATAAATGTCTGGTTCAGGTGTGCAGTAATGATATCTGAGATATAGCTGCAAGTATTTCGCCTCATCCGGACCGTGACAAGAACCACCACCGGTGAGATGACGATACCACAGTTGTATTAATTTCAGCTCCGCGTCTCTGACTTTTATGTTTGAGAATCAGGCACTGAAAAGTCTTCTTCTGCCAAAAGATTGTCTGCATCTGGTGCCGGCAGCCACTCTGCAGCTTTCGACTCCAGTTTGATCATCTGTTCTGAATTCGAAATGCTCCTCAATCCAAATTTTCACCTTGAGGGCCTCTGCCAAGTCACCGGTCACGACGCCTCTCCCTGCTCCACCCTCTTCCCCCTGGTGTGAGTGTGTGCAAATGTGGACCCAGTGCATGTGTTATTCTGCCTTTGTGCATATGCCTGGCGGGGAATGTGAGCGTGTACAGCCTGGCGTGTGTACCGTGTGCAGGCATTAACACCGTCTCAATGTCACTGACTCCTCCAAGTAGGAAAAGTCAGCGAGCCACTGATGGCCTCAGTGCAGTCGTCCCTGTGAGGCAGTACTGAGGCTGTGTTAGTGTGCCTGAGACAAGGTGACACAAGAAACAGTCCTCTACTGATGACTGACGGCCAGATCCAACTGTTCTGACCTCACTTATGTGGAGGTGACTGTGAGACAAACACAGTCCAGAGAATAAACACAGAGTGAGGACGGTCAAAGCGCTAATCTGCAGCTGAAAGCAAATTCTTTCTGTATAAACACATCCTGCCGAAAATAGACTAACACTTCACTATCTCTGAAATAAATGGACTGTAAGGTTTAGGCTTGTGCAGTATCTCTCCTTTTGTGTCAAAACATTTATGAATAATTTCCCCGTGTATCTCCACCTGTGTTTACGCCGAGATCAGGACGCTCTTTCCCTCCCTTACAACATTTAATTTAACAAGGAATCTTTAAAAAAAACTTACGTCAGGAGCCAGAGGGCAACCTCAGCGTCCCTGGGCACTCTTATCTCACCCACGCTAAAATATGGCTGTAAGGATGCTTTGTGACAAACTGTGAGCAGAGAATTGCTGGATTGTTTTTGATCACCTGCTTTAAATAAATACCCTGAACAAAAGCAGAGTCCTCAGGGAGCTCATTTATTGTATAAATTACTCAACCGCTCATCCATTCATTACAGAGACCTGCATACTTGTTCATCCAGGTATCACAGAATTTCAAGGCGGGTTGTAATGTTTTCATTAATTTTTTTCCCATCCTCCTGTTGTTCAGCTGATTCAAGGTGTGGATAGATTCTACCACTTGTGGTAATTAAATGTGAGGGCTCACCTAAGAGACTCGCTACCTGCAATAAACACATGAGAGACGTATAATCCATGTGCACGCAGCCACGCATACAGTACACAAACACAAAAACACAATCTCTGTGCACATGCACTTACAGTGAACACACACACACACACACACACACACACACACACACACACACACACACACACACACACACACACACACACACACACACACACACACACACACACACACACACACACATAAACAATGCTCACTGTCATGCAAAATCATAAAAGCTCCTAACAGCTGCCCCCAGGGCCAGTTTTCACACAGACACGCAGGCGGTAGCAGGATTTTTCACAGAGGAGCAAGCTTTTGTGTGAATGAACAAAGGGAATCTCCTTCCTCCTCAGCCTCCTCATCCCCTCTAAATCCTATCATGTGCCACCATTCGTCTCCCACACGCCTGTTTCCAAGTTACCGGCGGAGTCGTCTGCCAATCTCTCTTAATTGCCTCCTGTGCAAAGTGACGACTGAGGAGATCCGAGCGATGAGAGCAACGCTTTCCGTAGCCTCTTCCTGCAGCTCACCCACTGCTGAGCCTCTACCTGAGAACAACATCGTGCACCTTTGGGAAATTACACAGTTGTGTTGACCGTTTGTGAAACTTCAGCAACCAACCATGGAGACCTGCTATGTGAAAAAAAATACCTTGAAAACGTAACTAGGGGACTTTTAAATTGAAAAAGAAACTCAATTAATTGAACTGCTCTGTGAGGATATTTAACGTATGCCTTAATGGACACTACGGTATTGAAAGCACTTGAATATGAAACGGCTTGAATAGAAAATGACTCCTTAGAGACAAGAAAGTAAAGAACAGGGGGTAAAACAATAATGACAAGCAGCTTTTCCTCACTAACCTCACTCAGAGAACAAGAGATCTTCACGCTCGCAGAATTTGCCACCCTGTTGCTCCTTGTTTCCTCTTCCTTTGTTGTGTCTTCCTCACACATAGATCCTCCTCATCCTCGGGACCCGTGTCGGAGTTAACAGCTCATGAGGAGGGGGGGGGGGGGAGAAGCCGGGCAGAAGAGAAAGGAAACACACCCAGAGAAGAAAAGAAACACACTCTTCTCGCCCCTAAGTCCTCCTTGGCAGTGTATCCCCATCCGTCAGAGCGCAGCGACTGCGAGTGTGTGAGCAAAGAGAGAGAGGGAGAGAGCGAGAGAGAGAGGGAGGGAGGGAGGGAGAGATGAAACGATACTGAGTAAGTGGGCGAGGGAGAGAGAAAGTGAGAGAGGAAGGAAGGGGAGAGAGAGGAGGGTGATCCTCTACACTGCATGAGCTCCTGTTTATCTCTGTGTCTCCTCTGCATGCATTCCTTCCCGACACAAGCCACAAGGTCAGAAGCTTTTACAGTAACGAGACTTTGTTTCCTCTGGAGGGAAAAGACTTCCTGTTAGTCCTTCACTCAACTTCCCTCATGAGTGAAATCACTTTATATTTACTGGTTTAAAAAGAAAAAAAAAACCTCCTTCCTATTTCTCTCTCACTCTTGCAAACACGACCTCACTCTCTTCCTCTGTATTTTGAATTATTATCAACCTAGTGAGAGTAGATCTCCTTATCTCCTATCTCCCATCACTGCCTGTCTAGAGGTTATTCACCTAACAAGGTCTGCGCTGCAATTTTAATTTTGGATACACCCTGAACATACAAAAAATAATGAACCAGAGACAGTGTTAATGTATAAGGAATAAATAAATACAGCTTTTTAAAAATATACATAATTTGATGATAACTGTTTTGAGAGTATTAAGTCAAAATAAAAAAATAAAAAAATAAAAAACACCATACAATTAGAATCAATCTATTTCAGCTCTGCTCAGCTGTTTACTGCGAGGGGTCGACCATGCACCCCTTCACTTAAACTTGATTTTTGTCTGCCTTTCAATATCAAAACAGACTTCACACAAACATAGAACTCAATTATCCTGCTTTTGTTTTGACTGGTGACAGTTCAAATAGGAACATTTAATATAATTATAATTTATTACACTTTGTTTTCATTTTGGGTGGGATTTCTATTTTACAATAATTTGAATGCATGATGTTTTTTTTTTTTAATTTTAAGAATATTATGCATGAGTGATATTTTTTAAATTAACAAATTCCAGTATCTCCTGCTGATCTTACCTCTACCTCTAGGTGTATATCTACCCCCATTGGAAAAACACTGGACTACAGGAACATGTGATTGTAGTTTTTCACCTAACTCTTCCAGCTTCAAAGTTTAAGATTTTATTGATAAAACACTCCACAGGTAATCGTAGTTATTTTAGCCAAATCCCAACTGTGCTCATAAACACATGTCGTCTTTTAGTTGGGAAGATTTCAATCAAAACGATCAAAATAACTGAAAAAAATGTTTTTTAAAGTGAGACTTTCTGCCATGGTTACAGTAAAAGTGTAATTGTAAAAGTGTTAAAACAATAAATTGTCGGTTGTGACTTGGTCTTGCAAGCGTCAGCACAGCCGGTGTGTGTGAAAACTGGGTGTTTGTGCGATCCTCTGCCTCTTTGCTCTACTGACTCCTGATGTGACATGGCAGACAGAGAGCTTAAGGGTGTCCCCCGAGTACACTGCATGGCTGTGTCAATTTGCACGTGAAACGGTGGATCAATTAGGGCACACACATCAGTAAAAGGTGACTCAGGGGTCGACTTGACAGCTTCCTCTGTAATGTTGATAAAGTGTCAGAACGTCATGAGTCACACAGACAGACACGCACACCATGAGGGAAGTGACAGAAATCCTCGGTCACACCCCAGATGAAGCGATGAAGAAACTCAACAGAGCGGGGAAACGGTGGGGACCAACATATGGCCGTGTTGTTTTGAGGCTGCACGTTAGCCCGCTGACCGGGCGAGCAAAAGGTTCTCCTGCAGAGCACTGTGGGTACTGAGCTGTCTCTGTTGGCAGGTGATACTGCAGGATACAGGCTCTTCTAACAGAATGAGGGTTTCTGTTTCTATGGGAAGTAGGGAGGCCTGAGGTATGTTACAGTATGTGAAGACTGGGTTGTATGTTGTTCAGCCAGGAGGAAGTATGGACAGTCAGGAGTGGTATAATGCATCCTCACAGTGTGTGTTGGTGTTGGTGTGACACCATGTGGACTTTAATTGTTGTTTTGAGGCAATAACTGTAACGACTCAGACAAGTAGCATAGTCATTAACAAACCAGCTCAATCATCCAAATGCCGTATTTTGTGCTGCTCTCCAGCAATCAGTGCAAATACAAACACATGAAAGGATTAATAGCCAAACCATGTCCGTTTTTCAAGAGCTTCTGAATGAGAAGATAAATAGGAAAACCAAAATGATTTCAGTTTTCACAAGAAAGAGCTGTGATGTAATGTTTGCCAGAATTTTAGCCTTTATATGGAAAGTGACTCTCACCCACAGCGCTATATAGTAACTATTATATATTTCCCTTAAAAACCTCATGAAATATAAAGTGGCTTGAAATGTTCTTGGAAAATGAGGTCGTAAGAAATGACTGCAAAGCAGGGGAGCAGATTGTTTGCTGGCGGCACATGGTCACAAGATAAAACCTCTCTGAAAGCACTCATGTCTTCACACTGTACACACTGTACATCCGCCATGCTTTGTTTTGGGAGTTTTACCTCTTTTACCTACCAGTGGGTTTGAATCCTCTTTGGACTGGAGAGGCTGAATCGCCTTGGCTCATTATTCATGTAAAAAAGGACTGTTTGCAGCTTCACCTTAATCATACCTCTACTTTCTAAAAGCTGAAATTAAATAAATCGATTCCAGTTCCATTTTCTCCTGCTCTCCTTAATCGTGCTCATCTTCCTCAACAGAATCAGCTGATAGAAGCCATTCTGTCTCTGTGGCCTTTTCTTTCTTTTTGCCAAGCTCTGGGAGATTTCTTTGAATCCTTTTAGGAGGCTCCATAAATGTTGAGGATCAGCTTACACGGTCCAGCAATAAACCTGCAGGGTATTTGATACAGATGTGACTCTCAGTCTTCTAAGAACAAAATTCAGCTCAGCTTTGCATTATAATGTCAATTTGAAAGGAAATGACTTTTTTTTAAAAAGGTTTGACTGTATTTTCATTTCTTTTTGTTTGCCTCAGCTAGGTTATCTTCGATTAAAACTGCGGTTTAAGGATGAACTTAGGTTCTTAAGCAAAATCATGGCCTTGGTTATGAATTAGTATCCTGCAGCTGATGCCATGTGGTCCCATGGCAATAAAGTGAGTAAATGTTGTTGTCAAGCTTTTCTCAGGGGCCCTGCTTAAGCCCACTAGATGGAGGTCAGAAGAGGAATGGGGAATTGTGAAAATCCCTGCAAGTCATAGCGTGTCCTTTGGTCTTTAGATGGATGCTGCTAACAGAAACATCCTGCATCCTGCTGCTTCCTAAGGAAAAATGGTTTCCATCAAATAATCTCAAAAAGAACATGTTCTCTTCATTATCTGACAAATCGAGACAAGCACTGATCTGATACCTGATACCAAAAAAAACATGTTTATTTTTTCCAACATCTTCTTACTAATAACAGTACAGATGTGCTATAATTGCTTTATTGTTGTATTGTATTTTAAGGTATAAGCCCTTTGTAATTTACACCATCAACACACAACCATCACTGCAAACTAACAGTAAGTCAATCTTGGAAAAAATGAACAGTTATGTATGGAGACGTTTGTTTCTGCACACTTTTCTCTGTCAGTTCGGTTGACTTAAAGTGTTCTCCAAAAGGCAACTGGACTTGGTTGAAGTACTTGAAGAAGATTCCCCTCTCATCCAAAAGGATTCTTTGTGTCTAGTAGTTGTTGTAGTCAAATGGGAGTCCTTCAAATGAGTTGTTGACCTAATATCACCGAGTGGTTAACATCCTCAGTCATCTCAGGGTCGTTGTTGTGACATGATCCATCGAGTGAATGAGGCACTGTTTAGGCCGAGAATTCAAAACTGCATGATGAGTCGGTGACAAGTGATGTCACAGTTCATCCTCAGCTAAGAGATGTTTGTTAGATGTGCTTGAAGCATGTTTAAGGAATATTTTTTCATTGAAGCATTTCATTTTCCTTGAACACACAACAGTGAGTTCCCCCCCCTCCATTCACAAACATGAGTTTGCCCAAATCCTGAGGTTTGCATAGAGGGCCTGTACTCGGGATCAGGATGGTCTTGTCCCACATCCACCCTTTCATGTGATCGTCACATGCTGGTGCTTCTGCAAGTCTTTACAAAAATACATTTCAGACACATCATCAACTCATTTTTAGCTTATCTGCTGACAAGTGTTTCTCTGATTTCCCTCACTCTGAAAAAATCCTCACAATTACCTAGAAAGTAGCGCTGCTTGTTGCAAATCTGTAAACTCCATTTTGAAAGCAACGGGTGTGACTTAACATCAGCAATTACACGATTCAATCATAAACTGCTGAGCCATCTAAAGTGAACATTTAGGTAATCATTTTTCTCCTACACCTTAAACATCAAGACCAGTGAACAAACTAATAACCTCCTGAACAGGTGATCGCTTTAATGATTTTTTTTTTTACTGTCTTTGAAAATGTGTTGTTCCGAGTTGAGCAGCTGTATTAAGCACTGAATCAATGTCTCGAAGGTGGGTTACAAACTTAGATTATATGCATATTTAAACGACGAAATTAGCTTTCATTGTTGCAGAATGTAACTTGTAATGACATTTTTAGATCAAATACTTCCTTGGAGGGGGGTTTTATGAGAATCTGTCAAAGTCAACTTTTCTTTCTACAAGGTTTTTGGACTTAAAAAAAAGAAGTGCAAAGGTTCCACGACAAGATTTGACTCATACCTCCCCTGTGTAGCAGCTGTGTGTCTCTTCCTTGTGATCTCCTCTTGAAGTGAAGGGACACGTCGGTCCAGGCATCACACTTCCACAGGCATCACACTTCCCCTCTGGAGTCCAAACTTTTATAAATGTCATCATGCTGCCAAGACTCAGGTCAGCTCAAGAGTGACTTTTTTTTTCTTCTGTTCTCCTTTCCTTTCACCATCATCACGTAATTACTGACATTTGTAGTGTCACAAAAACAAAAACATTGACTGTTGTTTCTCCATCTGAGCACTCTGTCAGAGATGTTGCTTCGAATTAAGTG